CGAAGTCACACAAAGTCTCCGAAACAGAATTTGAAACTAACCAAGAAGAACACACAACACCAGCGGCCACTCTAACCCGAAAGGCCCAGACAAACCACATTCACCACCTTCTCCGGGTCATCACACGATACCCACCACCCAGATAGCTTAGGAAGTATCCTCCCCCAGCAAGTGCGGACCCCAGTTCGGGGGGCGCGCCACTCCGAAACTGACCACGTCCAGGAGTGGGGGTTGGTGGTAAGCGTTCACTGACCGAGGGTCCGCTCACACTTGCAAACCTGCAGTATCCTTTCATATCTGCGGGTAGGACAACCTCCAATCCCAAATCCGGTCTGGCTGCTCTAATAGCTCCAGCCGGAACCACCAAACGGGCCGCCTACAGGCAAAGGCCCGTGTCGGACTACGGTCCGACAATCTCAACAACAACATACAGTACTCCAAGCTCTCAAACCGACAAGACCTCCTCTCAACAAGCTCCTCCACAACACAGCAACTTCCCAGCATCTTACTGCACTGTGCATACAATATACGTAAAAAAACGCGATTGTGAGTTTTCTTTCTCACCTCCATCCTGAATGCGAGATCTCCTTTATGTACAATCAAAGACTAAAGTCGTGTCGCGATTTTGTCCGAAGATTAAATATAACTCGTGAAACATTATGAGAACCCTACTACACGGCAGAGCGCACCAAAAGTTTTAGCCCTTCTGCATATGTTTTCACCAAATTTCACGACACGCCTTTTGTCTTTCATTGTACATGTGTATGTGGTCCTAAGAAAGAGAAAATTAACACATAAGAAAGAGAACTTTGACTACTGCGCCATATACACTACGCTACGACACTTTCTCTGGAACAGGAACAATTTCGTGTACCCAAGGAAAAATCATTAAATAGTTCCCAGTTGACAGAGTTCTCATATCAACATAATAATCTGGTTGAAATTCCACATGAAATGTGTAGGCCTAATACTCCTCGTCAGGTTATATTAGGTTTAGAGGGGTGATGACCTACTGCCACTGCCAGGTTTTGGCATTGGTCTAAAGGCTCGTGTGTCATGAGCCGCAGCCGGACACACATTAACTCTGGTGGTAACTTGTGTCTGGCGGTTGATGAGAAAGATCCTTATGGTTTGTTCCTGTAATGTTATCGTTTTTAAATTCTAGGGAACACTTGTACTGTATAACGAATGGTGGGGGGTGATCTGTACCGACAAGCCACCCGTCATTCGTTTTCCGTTGTAGAGTATTTTTCTGAAGGTGTGCAGGTTTGTTTATGTTTTAGAAATTTAATTTATCCAGTCAATAATTATTTGTAAAACACTATCAAGTGAACTTTGCCTTAGTAGGGGATATTTTAGCTGTATCTTTTTTAGCTTCAAGTTGTATCTATCATACAGGTATAGAGTATTGTTTGTAAAATCAATGAAATGAGAATTACTTTTTCACAGTGACATGGAATGAGCAGTTGGTGTAATTCTCAGCGTGAGAAATGTGTAGTGTGTATGTGTGAGCTGTGTGCTCCGACTTTACGACACGTGTGACACCCTCAAGCTGAGTCAGTCGACATTCTTACCAGTGTGTGTGAATGTGTTGTATTGTTAAGATTGTGAGTAGGTTCGTGTAGGCATGTACAGCATATATATTAGGTTGAGTCAGTTTAGAGTGGGGATGAACGTTGATCGTACCAGCCGCAGTAAACACAACAATCGTAGGAAGTTTCATTGAACTGTTTTAATTTAGGAAATTTTGGTCAGAAACAAATCGTTATCTAACTTCTCGAGGTTGAAATGTCCGTTTGGAAAATGTTTGCTTACAGTAACCAATCAATACAAATTACACAGAAATTGAAGCCACTAGTTCTTGTCTTAGTAATAGAGGAGGAACGGGTTGTGTACATTTTATCTACCCAAATATATACATAGCAGAGTAGCGACATTTACAAGCACAGTGAGAGATATGTGATTATTACTGTGGTTTATGGTGCTGAAATAGGCTGGGCGTGTGATGGTTGTGTTGGCAGGGAGAGAGGCGGTGTTTGTGTTGACATGTTGCTGTGACCCCCTGACACCCCTCCCTCCTGGCCTGGTCACGTGAGTCAGCCCCTCATACTGTCACTTATATTACCCTCCCTGCATCTCACCAGCCCCCTTCCCTAAATCTTACCGGTCCTCACCCCCTCCTCGTACCTCACTACCCCTTATCTACTCCTTGTATCTCACCAGCCCTTCATGCAATCCCCCACCAGATCCCACCTCCTCCTCCTTGCATCTCACCACCTTCTCCCCTCATCTCTCTTCCTGCATCCCTCCCCCCTACACCTCACCTTCCTTCACCTCGTGTACCCATATAAACCTCCCCACACACCTTCAGACGTCAAAAACATACCCTTCCACCCTCACTACCTCTCTTATACCTCTACCTGTCCTTCTGCCTACGCTTTTGTCATTTCGGTGCATGAGAGTCGCCATACATGAAAGAACTGGTACTTTTGTTTGATGTTGCCTGACGCTTCTAATTAGTGAATGTATGCTGTATGGGAACTAGTGAAGGACGAGAGCGACTTATTCTCTTGTTTCTTTAACCAGCAAAATATACGATTTACGTTAGACATGAAGATAAATGTAGGAGCTACAGTTTGTGGTGGCAACAGAACGCGTTTTTCACCAGAGTAAATTTAAGACGTAAAAAGTATAGTTTTTTTTCAGCTCAGGATTGGTGTGTGCAAAGTTCTAAATTCTATAGATTGTATTACAGACTTGTGTTACCTTCAAGATATTGTGAAGTGAATTTCATCTTGGCATTAAATTATCGTAGATCTGTTTATGATATACAGTGACATTTTAATTCACTTGAATGGAACACTTGTAGGTGCTTAGGTTTTACATTCACTCCCACCGTCATTATATTTGTTTTGAACTGCGAATTTATTTTCTTTGGTTCCCGAATCAACGAATCAGATACTGTCGTTCGCCATTAGCTATCTGTTGTCTATAAATAAGACAGCACGGTACCAGTTTAGCCTCGACCTTCCTTGTTAAATTATTGTATTATAATTCTGCTAAGGTGCTTGAAGGATATGTTAGTTATTTATCTTAAATAGTAAATTTGTCTTATTTACAAGGCAGAGTTGTCACCCATGAGAGAATATAAAGAGAATATTTCACAAATAAAAACATTCTTATCTTAACGTCAGCCGGGAGGCTCTCATTCACTCGGGCCACTTGTTACACCGCATGCGCGCCTCAACTCAAGGTGCCCACCACACCTGGCGACGCACTGCCGCTTCTTAGTCACGCACAATAGTCTCCACACACGTCTTACACTCCCAGCTTCTGGAACGAGTCTTCCAACTGTTGATTTACCCATAGATGGCGTTATTGTATCTCGTTGGGGTTTTGGTGCAGTTGAATGTATAGTGTTGGTGCAGTATGATACGATACGAGAAGTCAACATAATTTACACACACACACACACACACACACACACACACACATACACCTAATTAACCATAGAATTCAATGTCTTCATAATTAAACGAACAATATCTATTCACATATTTTAGCTAAAATTCCTGAACCAGTTATTCGATATCATAGCTCGCTTTATAATGCGCTGTGTACCGCTGCACTGTAGAGAACCAACAAACGCGGTTATGCAGCCCAAAATGACCTTAGTACACGACCTTACACTAGCGATGTGGAGGAATTGGAGTAACAAACTAGAGCCTGAGAGATTGTTCTGGGGGAGTATATGGGACAAAAACCCAACTAAACAGAACACTGAGAAATATAATATAAAGAAAGGGGTGATTTTTTGTCATACTTTACACATGTGGTTATGTCCATTAGGATTTCTCCGAACTGATTCTGAACACCACAGGGAGATGGTTGACACAGAAGTGAGCCAGCCAGCCAGCCAGCCCAGCTGAAGTTCTGAACAATGTTTACGTTGACGAAAATTGTTTGGTGGGTGTACAGCGTATAGTTGGGTGCGTAGTAAAGGCCTTGAACGTCATAGCTGTTAATGAATGTTATGTGGGAAATGAATTACATAAGTGAGCGCGGATATAAAAGAAACCTTCACTTTTGTAATAATAATAATGGTAATAAACGTTATAATAATAATAATAATATAATAATAATAATAATGGTAATAAACTTTATAATAATAATAATATAATAATAATAATACGGCAATAATAAAAACGAAAATAATGAAAATAACAATGTGTTATAATAAGAATGATAATAATAATATATAACGATAATAAACTCATAAACCAGCAGAAAGTACTCGTAAATATATAGGTTTGTGCCAAAAAATTGAGAAGGATTTTTTGGTGATGAGAAATGTTATACTGTACTGTACACATCGTGACTCAAGTGATGGAAACTGTCCTCGGTGTTTGCGTCAAGGAGGCGGAGACCATCACAGTTAGCCGGACAAAATCCCCTCAGTTGAAGTTCAAAATAGGACCAAATACCCCTGAACAAAAACACCCCTAGTAAAAATGCAAGGTGGGACAAAAGACCCCTGGACATAAGCTCCTCAGTTAAAGTGCAAAGGACATTTTGTCCTACACCCGGCAACGCCTAGTATAAGTAAAGGGCACTGCTGGTGACGCTGAGTGAGGTGGCGACGATGGTATCAGAGAGAATACCAAGATTATAAGATACGCTGATGTATCCTGCCAGTGTGTGTGTTAGTTATAGGTGCAGCCTTCGGTACACAAGCTGGGTCGACTGGGGGACCAGAGAGTCTTTATGCCAAGTGTCATCAAAAGCAAACCAAAGGTCTTAGATGAGACCCCGTAAACACACACACTTAATCTAACCAAAACTAACCTAACCTAATTCCCCTTGGTCCCGTGGTTAATCTTCAGGTGAAATAAGCTGGGGTGCAGATTCTCCTTCAGGTGATCCCGGCGACCTTTATTATCTAGTGTTAGTCTTTTGGTCGATCTTGTGTTAACTCGCACCTTCTTCCTCCCCTTTTACAGTTTGTCCAGCGACGACGTTTTGGAGAAGCGGAGCAGCGGGGAGAGCGTCACCCGGGACATACCCCAAGTGAAGGTAGGTCACAGTATGTCTCACAGTATAGTGTGTGTGTGTTCCATGTTCCAGCGCCTTCCCCGCCCTGCCACACCATTATTTCTTGGTTCTCACCCCGTGTTCACACCAGGGGACAGGTATTCTATTTTAAATAACTCGTATTTCACATTGTGGTATATAATGAGTGATCGGGACCTCGTGTCTAATAAGTGGTAGGGACCTCGTGTATAATACGTAATACGGACCCGTGTATAATGAATGATAGGGATCTCGTGTATAATAAGTGATAGGGACCTTGTGTATAATAAGTAGTAGGGACCTCGTGCATAATAAGTGATAGGGACCTCGTATAATAAGCAGCCGTGGCCGCGTGTTCAGTGATGATCGTTCAGCAGTAACCAATACCTGGTGGTGGTGGCCTCACCCGTCACTACCCACCAGCAGGTGTTTACTTTTCCCTGACGGTGATACGGGATGACGTCACGATGGTGTTGGGGGGGGGCAGGCGGCGCGTTTGATGGTGGGTGAGAGGGAGGGGGTGTCATGATAGTGGTTCACGGTGAGGAAGTGGGTGTGAAGCTGTCAGGATGTTACTCGATCATGACACGTGACTGTTGACCTTCGTGTATGTATGACGTAAAGAAACTTCCCCAAAGTTTCACCTGCCCGGGGATCGACTCTGTCTACCCAGCAGTAATTGGGAACCTAGATGTTAATAGATTTGCGTATCGTATTCCAGGGTAATGGTTAACCAGTGCAGTTGGTGAGTTGTCCGATCTTCTCGGATTATTCCTTGACACTGGGTCATGCAACTCGTTAACTTAGGGTGTGGTTGTTGTTTTGGCGACAGCTTCTACTTCTATACCTTAAACAAATTCACGCCTAGGTGGCCCTTGGGCCGGCCATCCTCGTTACACGAGGGGCAACCATTATTATTATGTATGTAGTGTACAGTATGTACTGTACACTACATGAGCGTCTTCTCCAGTGTGTGTGTGTGTGTGTAGTACGAGGGGGTTACACTGTTATCTATTTAGGGTGGTCTTTGTGAATACTATACCACGGATTAATCTACCCCCCCCCCCCCACCCCATGGTAGCCAAGAGAGGACCCTGACAGTGTAAACAATTGAAGTTAACATCTGGTAAACACACACGAGTTTGGGGCAGTGACCTGGGGTCGTCGTGTACACTGTTGGTCGTGTGTACACATAAACTCAAGCTAAAGGACATAAATAAACAAATAAATAAATACTTCACTAGACCTTGGCGCCAACTGTGAAACATGTTACTGTCACCTCCCTCCCCATACATAGTCAGTATGAAGGAGTGCGTGCGTGCGTGAACACCTTGTAACGGTCAACGCATGAGGGGGTGAGTGGGTGTGTACAACTATCTGTGCAGGTGGGGGTCGATATGCTCCGAAATTTTACTTGTGATTAGTGATAGCTCTCATATACCAATATTATCGTCCATTGTCTCATGATGTTTCCCACAAAATATGCGCAAATAATTGTTTTAGCTGCTGTACCTCTTGGAACAGTGTGTAGATCAGGGTGCATACCTGTGGGCGAGTGAAGGACGAGTGAGTGAATAAAAAAGGACTCGTGTGTATTGTTTCGTCAGACCCTGGGACGCTCAGGTATAATTAGCCCCTGTTTATACTGGCCCGCGCCTGTGTGTGTGTGTGTGTGTGTGTGTGTGTGTGTGTGTGTGTGTGTGTGTGTGTGTGTGTGTCTACCTATGCCACACCCTACTGTTTCGTGTGTTGTGTGTTATTGTGGGTGACGTGTATAATTTGTCTTCCATAATTATGTAATACGATGGTTACTGTAGAGTCATGAATTAATGGATAGTTATTGTTATTTCACACACACACACACACACACACACACACACACACTCTCTAACAAGCTATGTAGAAACACTGGATTCACCTCCTCCGTCTCTCACTCACACGTTTATAGACCAGATGACCAAACACCTCCGTCCCCCACATGGTAACTCTAGTATCTATGTAACTATGACTACTTAACACCCTCAGGCTGAGGAAGAGTCTCGTTGTTGCTGGAGATAATACGTCAATAATTCCTATAGATGGCGTGAGAGTTGTTAGCTGCCGACTGATGCTGGTACTGTGTAGGGGGGCTTCCTTGTCCCATATACAGTATACATCTGAGGGGGATTTACCTTATGCCGAACTCCAGCCACACCAGCGGTAACTTGATGTGCCTTAATGTGCCTGTAGTTTACTTGTGACTCAACTGGGGGAGAACACGAGGTCATGTGGTGTGTGTGTAAGAGGCCGAGGGTGTGAAGGGCCCAGTCCCAAAGCTGACGCCTAATGCTCATGGTATTGTTAAGTTTGGTTGGGGTAGGTGAGGGTCCAGTAAGACTTGAGGATCATTTAACTGGTCGCCAGGAGACATAGAGAGAGGGGGATTTTATTTATTTTTTATTTTTATTTTATTTTATTTTTTTTTGAGGGAGGGAGAATTGAGAGATGACTTTGGAGAATAAGTATTTCGGAGTGTGGGAAATGAAGAGCTGGTGGAGGTTCAGGAGGGTGAGAGGAAGGATTGGCGGAGGAGGCTGGTGGAGGTTCAGGAGGGTGAGAGGAAGGATTGGCGGAGGAGGCTGGTGGAGGTTCAGGAGGGTGAGAGGAAGGATTGGCGGAGGAGGAGGCTGGTGGAGGTGGGATAATGGGGTATGTTTATAAATCATGGAGGGTGGACACTGAAGGAGTGAAAGTAGGAGTGTGGGACAGTAGACGAGTGAGTGGTGGAGGGAGGCACACAAGGCCGTGAGACGTGGTTAGTTACCCCCACCTTCACCAGGCTCACTACACCCACTCCTCCTCCTCCTCCTACTATCCCTCTTCATCCTCTTTTCTTCTTTCTTTGCCCGCTACCCTCTCCCCTTCTTCCTCTTTTGCCCGCTACCCTCTCCCCTTCTTCCTCTCTTGCCCGCTACCCTCTCCCCTTCTTCCTTCTTAGCCCACCACCCTCTCCCCTTCTTCCTCCTTAGCCCACCACCCTCTCCCCTTCCTCCTCCCCACACCCCTGTCCTCACCTCCACACTACCCTTCTCCCCCATCTCCTTCTCTCACCCCTTCCTCCCCCACTGGTCTTGTGAATACCCCTTCTGGCTACGCCTCCGGCAATGTCGAAGCTGAGAGTTACCACACACCTGGCGGCCTCCCTGCGTTACCGTCACTCACCTTTGTTTGTCACCCTCTAGCATTACCACCGGTGTTACCTGGCAGACCCTCGTGTGGTGGTGGGTCGAGCAGGTACCATTGTCCTCAGCTGGTCGTAGTTTGGAAGCGGGACGTCTGCCATAACAATGTAAATGAAGCAAAACTATGCCAGTAATTTCGTTCCCAAACGCTTGTGTTTACCAGCGCTGCCTTCCCTCACTTCCTCAACTCAACCCTATTGTGATCTAGCGTGGGCTTGTGTAGACACGTACAACACACCGCCTCGTGCTAGAATATGATCTAAATGACCGACAACATCTCTGAATCTTGATAATTTAGTTTCTGAGCGAGGAAAATCCACTACAAATCTTAACATTATGAAAATGACCGAAAGCTTGTTGGAAGATGTGAGGTGTTTGGGCACAAGGTCGGAGCTTGGTACCGATTGTGACCTTTAGTTACCGATTACCTGCTGAGTGTGTGTCTGTGTGTGGGGTGTTCTGCCAGGACTTGCCACTGGAAGGTGTGTATGTGGCGGTGCTCTGCCGGAACCTGCCGTCTGGCTCGCTTATCCATTGAAGATGCGTGGCCGTGTCCCATCTGGAGTTATTCTTACGTCAGGGAGCTAAGCAAGAGTGACAGTTCTCATGGCAGACTATCCTAACCTACACTGCTGCATCCTGCTGAGTGGTTTATGATTTTGAAGACCGATTTATTGGATGAGATGTACTGTGCTAACCAAGCCAACAAGGTGTACCGTAGTGTAGCCGCCCGTGATCTGTGTAACGCGAGTTTTAGGAGTGGTGATCGATAAGATAACTGGCATGATAACACGGGCAGGTTATCAGAACGACCTCGGCTGAGAACCTTATCTACCCAGGTGTTGGACACACTTTAGTGAGACTACACGTCTGGCATCCTGAACACACGCACTGCCTCCCTGTGGTGTAGCGTGTGTTTAATAACTGCACTCAGGTTGCCACAGGGACACGTGTTTAAAGTGGACATGCTGTGAAGTTCCGAAGTGACAGACGTGAACCTTTTAACATTTCCACCATCAGAGATCCCGTCGTGGAGGTGAGCGACGCTGTATTTGTTCCAACGCTCGTGTGTGTGTGTGTGTGTGTGTGTGTGTGTGTGTGTGTGTGTGTGTGTGTGTGTGTGTGTGTGTGTGTGTGTGTGTGTGTGTGTGTGTGTGTGTGTGTGTGTGTGTGTGTGTGTGTGTGTGTGTGTGTGTGTGTGTGTGTGTGTGTGTGTGTGTGTGTGTGTGTGTGTGTGTGTGTGTGTGTGTGTGTGTGTGTGTGTGTGTGTGTGTGTGTGTGTGTGTGTGTGTGTGTGTGTGTGTGTGTGTGTGTGTGTGTGTGTGTGTGTGTGTGTGTGTGTGTGTGTGTGTGTGTGTGTGTGTGTGTGTGTGTGTGTGTGTGTGTGTGTGTGTGTGTGTGTGTGTGTGTGTGTGTTTATTGAAGTAGGGCTATATATTGGGAATGGGTTAGATTACAAAATATACAGTGACAAGTAAATAAGACATAATACAATGGGATAGTCAAACTACGTTCATTTCAACATAGTGACAGTGTGGGCGTGTTCGGGTGAATACATGATTTATTACATGTATTGATAATTTTACAATGGTGGATGGGCTGTTCTGTCGCTGGATGCGTTAAATACGGGATCTCAGGTGTGTGTGTGTGCTGATTTATTACATGCTATTGATAATTTTTACAATGGTTGGGACTGGGCTGTTCTTATAGCGACTGCCTGTGCACGTATGGGCTGGATGCGGTTGTGGTGTCGAAATGCACCCTTTGACAGGGGATCTCAGG